CTTAAAAAGCACTCTGAATATCGGTTACCAGATTTCCTTTTAATTTCTGAAAGAACCAGCCACGTATGGTTAAAGCTTTGAATTTTTCTTCCCGAGTCATTAGTAATACCCAAGTTCGAATTATGAGTACTCTGCTTGGATATATGTATTTTAGTCCGCTCTTATTACGAGTGCTTTCAAAGGTCGCATATGTCCGTTGTGATTCTCAGAGAAAGAAGATTTCAACGGAAGCCTCTCTACACGCCCCCATAAATGGTTCCCACTCTTGCAGCGTCTAAACAGCTGACTCAATGAAACTGTGTCGAAAATGTCAAGTATTCGAAGATTAGTCAATTCGCTTTTTATAGTTGCTTCATCTCTTTCCTCAACTTGGGGCCTAAATGCTTACAATTAATCGCATAGGTACATATATTTTTTTGGAAACTATACAAATGTCTCCTTGCTAATTTTTTCGCTTCTATTACTCTGCCCATAGCTTTATTTGTGAGTTTTGTCCAACTGTTGCATAATCATACAAGTATATGAGTTCGTGTAACCTTAGCCTCATTGCTGCCAATAAAAGCATACAACTTTTTAATGACAGTATTTCCAATGAGTTAACGCCTTATTTGTAACACTTTTGCTATGCGAAAATCAAAAAGAAATCATCAAGAAACTTTTACTTTTACTCAACAACTTTCCTACAGGAAATAGCAACAAATAGTTCAAGTCATGAAAGTAGAACAGAACGTTGTGTCATGCAGCAAATGGTAACAACAAAATTAATTGACGTTCTTGGCTCAAACACATACATGTACTTACATACATATACATATGTATAATTATACTCGTGCATACATACATATGTATGTCTATGCATGGCAAATCTTCACCTGCATAAATATTATTTGGGCCGTTAGGCTTACTTTTCATCAGCATAAGGTTGGTACTAATTAGATTGTGCAACAAGTTGAGTTCACTTACCAACATATTTATTTAAGTACATACATACATAATTACACATGTATGTGTGTATGTATGCATGTGCACAGCGCTTGCGTTCTTATGTAAGTACTAGGTATCTCTTTTAGAGCTGTGTGTGTTCGGTAAAGTGGTAAATGGCGTCGAACAGCTGCGAATTTACGATGTAATTAATTAATTTAAGACTATTAACTTTCGCTTGAGTTGAGAATGGAAAAAGGCAAAAGCCGCAAGTATGCATGCACATGTTCCTACATACAAATAGTCTGTGATATACCCATGTGTGTATGTACGTACATATATGAGCATAATGCGCTGCAATTTACACAAAAATATCCGGAATTCTTTTGAAATTTTTATTTGAGTTGTAAACGAAACCAGCACACAATTAAGAAGCGGAAATTTTAATAAAAGCCAGTATATGTATACCCTACTATTTTTTAGGTCCCGAAAATGCCGGGATTATTTGCAAAGAATCCCACGATTTTCGAGTTTTATACTTTGCACGGGTGGCATCAATGGAAACGTTTTACGTTGACCAGTTTTTGCTAATATTTATTTTGTTTATTTAATATTTAATATTTAATATTTTTTGTATAAATGCCTAGTTCAGTATACATACACATTACACCGTGCGACAGACAAACGCACAAAAAATCAATATATATTCTCTCTGACGTCAGGATTTTTTAAAAGGACTTTGAAAATTGAATAATATGAGTAATTCAGAAAATCATTTCAAAATTTCATTGCAATTTATTTAGAAAAACTGTACGTTTATCAAATTAACGAGAAAGAAAAAGGAAAAGAAAAGAAAATCAGATAAAATTTTTTGGTGCATAAGGTATTGAAATGCCTTTTTAAAATCTTATCTTGAATTTATCATATCTTTGAAATTATAAAGTCTTAAAAAAAATCCTAAAACTGCGTACCTGAAATTTTTCTTAAAATTCTCAGTAAAAAGTTTGAACTCTTGTTTTTTTTAATTTTCAATAATTTTTGTTCAAATTTTGAAATTTTCTTTATATGCAGTTAATTATATGTAAAAAAAAGACTTGTAAAAAATGTCTTTTATTTCTGCCAATAGTATTATGAATTTCTTTCAAACACTTAATACATTTCTTTACTTAATTTTTGTTTTTGCATCGCGCTTTTTTCGACATATCTTAAGTTACTTTATCAGATATGTATGTAGACGCTAAAGTATTATAGGAATAGGATAAATCGAAAAAATTAACATCCCTAGCCCCTACATATGCATGTAGTATATTTAAGACAAAACATGAAAAATCGCAAGAATGTGGATATCTATTCAACTGAAGAGTATGTATTTCCAATTAATTTACTAATGTACTAATATACTTATGTATTTACATAAGTATTTTCAAATGTTTGTGGCTTCCGTAAGCAAATTGCTTTATTTAATAAAAGCCAGGCGGGCATATGAGTATGTTGCACTGCACATATGCTTCAATTGAGCAAATTGCGGTGAGTTAAATTGACTGTCTCGTGATGTATTGCTCAAGTAGCACCACTTGAATGCAAAATTATATTACATCACAGTGTAGTAAAAGCAATTGACGACAGTAACAGTTGCTCTCAATGGTGTTTACTATTCATGCAATTGTGGTTAAATGCCAACCGAATTAACTTGGAAGTAATTATACATAGTACGTATGTATGTATGCACAAGGATACGTACATACATACGTAAGATGAAATACGATTATGCGCGGCTGAGTTCAATTAGTCAAAATGGTTTTCAAGTGAATTAAATTCACTAAATCGCAAGCAGATGATACGTTAATGCATTAGTAGCTAAATAAAAATCAACTTCAGCCTATTTGTAAGCCAAATATATTTACTGGGCTTCCATAGTATTAAGGAAACTTTTATACAAAGGTTACAAAGCACAATTCTGCACAAAGCATATTTCCAGCAATTATTTTGGGTAACCTTTAAATTTAAGTAATGCACTTATTAATTGATGCTTTGTACACCAACACATTTTTGCTGCCAAAATAGCATAGCCAACGTGTAAAATCACTTGCGAAATTGATTGCCCACACAGCGAGTTGCTAGCTACAGAAGTGCTGACACATATTGCAACACCTTCGGTTGGTGGCTTAATTTTATTTTTTTTTTACCATCACCACGATATCTGGAACCAATTCAATAATGAGATTGCTTTCGAAAGAGCAAGCTTGGCATCCGTTGCAAGCCAGCCAATAGAGCGGCAATCAATGTGGCTGCGGCACTTCCAGTAGCACTCATTTCATTCGGCCACTTTGACGCCTTAAAACTCTTTAAACCACCGACCAACCTGTTCAATTTACTTCCATTCATAATGTGATTGAAAGCTGTGAGTAGTCACATCGTATACATATTTATGGTTAATTCAATATGGCACATATATACATATATATACTTATATGTAGTTAGCAACAAATTGATCGCATTCAGGCATGCACACAAACATGCGCTGCGGGAATGCACTGAGTAGTTTTGCTCAGCTTGCAATCATTTTTGACATTTTATGGATAAGTTCAAAATACGAGCCGTTATGTGGAGCACATGCGTAATGTGAATTATAGATGAGTGTGGGCAATTTCTTTGCAGCTTGGGCATAGTTTCTGTGGTGTCCAGTATATATGTAAACAATAACTCCCTTCTTTAATTTCTGTTTCTATATAAATTTTGCGTTAGATTTAAAAAATATAATATTTAGGAACATTGCAAAGTTTCCTTTAAAATATGAATGAATTAACCATGGCAAAATACTCCCAGTAATGTTTACCTATTTTAACTTTTGCCCCTAGACACACTTATCTAGAATGTGGCAATGAATTTTTCGGATATAATCACGAAACGGTGCTTGTATAGAGTTGCCTGCCTCGTCTTTTGACATCTCAGAGCCATACCTGGTCACTTCATCAACTTTATCGTTTCCTTCTACATATGCATAATGCTATGTCCGAAGTCCCCGCAATGGTTGACGTCCATCCATCGGTCCATATTTGAACGGTCAGTGAAGAAAGTAGAATGACACGGCCCTTTTGTTTAAGAGTTTTTGAGATTTCATTTTGCACCAAGAGTCAGAGAAGAGGAGACAAGTCTGATCCTGTCTCTAAACCCAGTAGTTGTAGCCACTTCGAGGAGTGCGCTTTTCACTTGCTAGCAGTTGATTGGCTAAGAGAAACTGTTTATTCAGCGATCACGTATTCGAATGCCACAAATCAGAAGCTCTGGATATAACGCGAGTGTACACTAGGGTGGTCCAAAAATGCATGTGAAAAAGTGAAGTCGGAATTTTTATGCTCTCACCGCCTAGGATTTTTCTATACCGAAAAAAATATATCCCTATTTCTTTAATTTTGAAATCAAAAAATATGTAGAAGTTGCTCAAAGCGCCCAAAGTTTTCCATGTATTTTTATATGGAGGAAAAACAAGTTTTCTTAGAAATGGCATAGAATAGTTAAAAAATCAATATTTTTCTATCGAAAAACTCTGTTTATCTGCAGGCGATTCCCAATAATAATACCCAATTGTTTATTTAACCTTTTTTTCATTGTAACTATAGTTTATGAGTCCGCCAAAAACCCACAAAAACCCCGAAAAATGCAATGGCGAACCAATAAAAATTCGTTCGTATTAAAAAATGGTTGAATAAACGACTGGGTATTATTATTGAAAGTCTCCTGAAGGGAACAAGAGTTTTCCACTATACCACAGCGGCCGCCAAAGGTCAAATTTGAACTTAATTTTTGATCGAAAACCTATCGATGAAAAATAAAGATTATTTATCGATTTTTTTAAAACGCATTTCTAACAGCTAAGGTTCCTGATGTTAGTCCAAATTTCTACGTTGGATGTCAGTCTAGAAATGTTTGCTCCAAATTTTATTTTCGATAATGCTTATCAAACTTTGGGTTCATATTTTTTGCTTCAACTTAAGACTGCCATATAGTTTAAATGCGCAGTTTTTCATTCAAGTAATCTTAAGTAATTAATACGTTTTTTTTTTTCATTTTCTTTCTAGGCGAATTGGTTCAAAGCGTCTCAATATTGCCGATACCATGGCATGCATTTAGCGAGTATTGCATCACAAGAAGAGAATGACAGACTGGAAAAACATATCCGCGACTTTGGTAAGCATTTATAATCTCTATGCACGTAAGTAGCCACTGAGTCGTAAAATAACTAGTAGCAACAGCGCTGGATAGTCACGAATAATTACAAGTATGGGCAAATCATTTATCAACTGTGCCGAATGCCTGACATACCTACCTACATATATATGTACGTAGTTTTTATCGGACAATTTAATATTTAATTCAAATAGTTGCAAAAAATGCTGCAACTACTTAAGTTTCTGGAGCACTAAAAATATTAGATTCAACAAAAAAAAAAAAACTAAAAATTCATTAAATTATTACGCGTTGCAACTTATCAATCAGCTCAATCGCCTTGTCTATCAACTACGCGTCGTTTTTATTCTTCAACTAAATAAACCTTCGAAATAGACTTTCGTGTTGCCAAGTGAAGCAAAAGCTTTTATTACATTTTTTTTGCAATTTTTTTTTAGCTTTGTGTCATACTATGCCCATATAATGTTGCGCAATATTAAATGCAAGAAAGGTATGCCCGAAGTGAATGGCGCGGCGCTCTAACCGTATACGTAGACTTCATTGTGTTGAGTGTCAGCCGCTAAGCCTTGATGGTGGCAATGGTGGTCAATGCACCTATTTAGCCTCACATAATACCCGGAAAAAAATGGAAGGCACAATATTTTAATATTTATTTTAATTCACTCTTTCTGTTTTTTTTTTTTTTTTTTGCTTTTTTTTTGCTTTGTAGCGAAGCAAGTAAAAGTGCACGCCAGTTAACAAGGCACAATAACTGTCGGTGCAAAATGTATTTGTACGAGTATTTGCATGACTTATGTGAGCGTATGTTTGTATGCACACAAAACATGCAGTTTTAGGTACCAACATTCTTGCATAGTTACATATGTACATACAATCAACAATAGCTACATATATTAGCTTAGCAAAAGTAGCCAACTGCTTTGTTGCTGCTACATTTTTGCTGTTCACTTTCAACAAACCACACTCTGAACACTGCAGTCAGTGAGTTAGGTAACCATTTTACTTGCGCTAAACATGCGAATCATATGCCGCCCTGCTTAGTGCTCTGGCAGTCACTCGGCTACGACCCAGCGTTGGGTTATTGTGATGCCTCTGGCGACTGTGGTCAGCCAACAAATCAAGCTGGCCGTATGTTTCTTCATTTAGCATGCTGCCCAAGCTTTTTTTTTGTTTTTTGTGTTTTTTGTGCGCGCTCTGCCTGAAAGCTCCAATTTCTGAACTTGGCTACATTCACTCTGGCATTCCTTTATACATACATACATACATACATATTCGCACATTATTTAAACATACATATGTACATATGTATGTACAACAAAAATTTACATACATAATTATATACAATATTAATGCTCTCACATTTTTCATGTGCTTGCCCATCACGTGCAACTCATGTCTCAACAGGTTTCGGTCACGAACACTTCTGGACTTCTGGCACTGACTTGGCCGATGAGGGCATCTTCTTTTGGATGGCCAACGGTAGACCCATAACATTCACGAATTGGAATGCCGGCGAACCGAATAATTTCCGTTACGAGAATGGCGAGGAGGAGAATTGCTTGGAGTTGTGGAATCGCGATGGCAAGGGGCTGAAATGGAACGATTCACCGTGCAGTTTCGAGACGTATTTTGTGTGCGAAGTACAAGCGAATTAACGACGACAAGGGTGTTGAGTGAGTGGCGCTTAAAAAGCAAAAAAAAAATACGTTAAAATGACAACAATGAAATGGAAAATATTAAGCAAAAAATAGCGAACTGAAGAGGAAAATTTATGTTTTTGTGTTTAGTTTTTTTTTTTTTATTTGTTTTCGGCTAACGCAAACGTCGTACTGTGTTCTATTTTGGAAAAAATGGGACAAAATCAAATATCTCGAGAAAGAGCAGAGAGGCAGCGTAATAAATGTAACCTTTTTTAGTTGGAGAATTCAGAAAAATTTGCTCGTTGGATTAATGAATTAGCTCGACCTTCAAAGATTAAGGACTTCAATTTTCGTGTTTTTTTAGCGGAATCTAGCAATGAACCTTTTGAAAAATTTTAAACACATAGTTTTGCAAGGAGTTCATTTGCATAGTCGCAAACACCGAGCAGCGCGTTTTTAGATTTTTTAAAAACATCACTACAGGCTATTTTTGGTTAAAAGCAGACAAAGGGATTCAAAAAAATTTACTTTCATTGAGTGAAACATTTAATTAACTTGACCTCAAAATCGACCCTTAAAGATAAACTTTTTGAATGACCCATAATAGCATTAATGTACTTTTTAAAAACAATTTTAAAAGAAAAAATTAGTAAAAAGTAAAAAATGAAATTACATAAATTAAATTAAAAAAATAGTAAAAAATTTTTTTAAAAATTAGTAAAAAGTTCATTGCATGCTGGTTTCGGATCAAAGAAAAGTAGAAATTGAAAACCTTCAATTTTTGAAGTTGATTTTAAAAATCAAGGCAATTCTTTTGTCTAACGAATTTATTTTTCCCGAATTCCCCATCTCAAAAGCTTTAAAATGCCGTTTTATCTCTTCTAGTCCTCGAGATATTTGATTTTGTCCCTTTTTTTCCAAACCTGGCCATAGTGCGCAGCCACATATTTATTGTATTGGAAAGTTTCGTTCCCTCATAAGCCACGGTATTTTATTGGTGATTAGGCGCACTTGCAGCACGCAAATGAACGTTAAGTACGTACTCTATTCTAAGCAATGCGCAATAAATCACATCAATCACAGGAGAAGGCAATATTTTTTTTTTTCTTTTAGCGTAATTTTTTTATTTTTATTTTTTTTTGGTTTTATTTTTCTTTAAGCGTGAAATTTCCATTTTTCCCTAATTTATGGCAATTATCTGCGCGCAAATTTGCTTGCCGGCACGAAAGTTCTGTGTGGTCGCGCAATCAGCCGTACGCCACCACTCCAAAACGTGGATTTTCTTATTGCACATTACGTATACGCACCCGTGGCGCACACACGCACGATGACGTGACGCTGACACGCTTGTGTGTTCGTGCCGGAGCATAGATATCGTGTTCGTCGTAGCAAGTAGAAGGCATACGTAGATTTATGAATATTTAAATAGGTGTTAGAGTGGTGAAGCAGACATAATTTTCATGGCTAGGAAATGAGAAAAAAAGAAGAAAAAGAAAAACGTTTGGTTACTCATACGACCCGTACACCCTCGATAAATTGTCATGCGTAACTTGTATTAGCTCTCGAAAAAAAATAAAAATAAAAATAAAAATAAGGTAACAGGTAATCGCGATATACATACATGCACTGCCTTAGCATTATCTAAATATGTACGTACGTATATGTAAGTAATGTATAAATTATTTTCGTTTAGTTAGCGTCCTTTTAACTTATGCCTATTGTAATTACTTGTATGTAGATATGTATAAATGTGTAAGCTTAAAGACTTAAATGTAAAAAGCTGCATCTAAACTAAGTATATCTATCTATCTATAGCAAAAGCAATTCAAATCACAACACAATGAAGATAAAATATGTTTGTATGTATTTGTATGTACTACTTGTGTAAATTTTTAATTTAAGCAGGAAAGAATAAACGAGAAAAAAGTAAAACGTAAAGAACATTTCACTTTCATTCGATCCAATTTCAATTTCAATACAATTTGAGGAAATTAAACTCAATTTGCATAAGCCGCAACGAAATTTCAATTAGAAAAGTTTTTCGGCAACAACAGGCAGACAGGAAAAATGTCTACGCTTGAAAGCGCAACAAACTCGGCGTGGGCATGTACCGAAAAGCAACAACAGCAAAGTAAATGGAAAGGTTTTGCAAAAGCAACATGCAAAAGTGTTATGGAGGAGGCCTGAAATAGATTCTGTCGCCCAGCTGTTTCAGGTAAAAATGTAGATTGGTATGCTAAGCATTGTAATCGCAAGTGCGGAGGTAAACAGAAAAAAAATGAAATCGCACAAAGTTTACTATAACTATGTGTAACAAACTTGGCATTTCAGCTATATTAACCCAACAAAACTTTCTGCGACATTTACATAACAATATGTTGGTCGTTTGCTGGGTAGAACTTCATACTGCAGATAAAGGGGGTTTTGAGTTAAGTATGTATATAGAATAGACTGTCAATACTTCTTGGCATTTTGGGTTCAGAGACGCAGTGGCTGAAATTCATAGAAGGCAAAATGGTGTAAGTACGACTAAGCACATGACGCTCATATCAATGGACAGCTAAACTATAAAATGAAGAATGGTGTAAGAGCTGCTATGGACTTGGGATTAGAAGATGTTTGTGGCTGCCAGAGCAGTGGATTTTTTTTTCAGTAAAACTAACGGCGGAAAAGATAGCAGCGGGGCAGCAGTCAAACGCCGATAAGGCTAAAATAAATTTAAATTTGAGCAAATCGTAAATTAGAAAGCTAAATAGCCTTGCAATATTTCTCAAAAGAGGATACTGTCGTCGGAAACAATGAGCGTTTCATTCATTATTTTGCTAATACTAGTAGATACTAACTATAAGAAAACATTTCGATGGATGAGTCACTTTGAGACTGCGGCAATTACCCGGCTGGGGGGAGCTACTCACAGTGGCCACACCGAAATTCGAAAGGGCATTAACCTATCGTGCAGGGACTACTGTGCACTAAGTCTAAATTTTACAAAGATGTGTAAGATATCTAAACTAGATAGGAAATTTAGTTCAAGGAGGTTCGGCACATGAACAAAATGTAACACTCCACTTCAACACTGATGGTTCAAAACTAGAGAACTTCCACCCTGTGCAGACTTCTCAACATAGTCGGGATTGAAAATATCTTATCACCTACCCGGCTTATACAGGGTCCTTAAAGCTGAAGTGGCTGGAATATAGTAGCAGGTTGAACACTTGCGAAAAATCGAAATCACATGTAATAGGATCTTCTCAGCCAGTTAAGCAGTAATCAAAGCACTAGACTGGTTACATGCAACTCTTAAACTAAAGCAGACTGCCACAGATCCCTTAACGGGATGGTTGAGCAGTTTCTTCCTCACTTTGTATGGGTGGCCAGGGCATCGAATCATACCAGACAGCGAAAAGGCAGCCGTTGGCCAGCTAAAAAGTCACATTTCCATTGGAAATCACGCGGATAGGTTCGGGATCCCCGTAATAACTTTTTGCAGAAGCGCAAAAGAGCCAGAAACCTTGCGGCACTTCTTATCATCGAACAGTTTGCTAAGTAAAAACACTGTCAGCTCTTTACTTTTACAATTTCTTTCATTTCTATTTGAATTTATTCAAAATACACCAACACACTGAACCAAAAACACCAATACACCTAATGTAACGCAACCTATTGACCTTTGAAATTATGTTAGACCTACATATATATGATGGATAAATTGAATATTCAACTTCAACTACAGTGTCTGGTTTGTAAAAATGAAAATACTTTAGATCTTAAAGAGGTCGATCTATGTGGCTTCTTGGACATCTAGGAGGCTATTGATAATACTGCCGATGAATCTATTTCATTATTTATTTATTTTATTTATTTATTATTTGAGTCTCGACTGCCGAAGTAGATCGATAACTTTCTTCGTGAGCGTGATATATGTATTTGAGAAAAGTACCGCGACGTTTTTACAGCGCTTTTTGTAAGCATCATTACGAGAAAACACGGCACGTTTCGCATGTTTTGAGTGCAATTCTGCATCAAGCTGGTGTGCCAAGGAGAGCATCCGCATAAACTCGCAAAAGGCTATTCTGGTACCGTTTACAAGAATGTATAAGCCGAACCCTTGTTTGGCGATCCTTGGAGAGACAGAGCTTGAATAAACTGGCAAAGCAAACTATCTCGGAATAACCCTCGATGAAAGACTAAGTTGGACCTGGCCTATAGACATACCTCTTATTAAAGCCACCCGAGCCATGTGACCCTGTAGAGGGCCTCTTTGCCGGACAAGAGGTCTGAACTCTATATTTAGAGAATGGCTATACCGCATAGTTGTCATTCCGGTTGTTAGGTACTTATGACTCCATATTCTAGTGACCGGAAACATTGCTAAACAAATTTCAAGGATATTTTTATCCAAACAGCAGCAGTCGATGAATTTGTAAATGAAAATATCTTCCTTCTTCCTACACTACGCTAATGTAAGTTAAAACTCTATCCAAGCACGCATACACTCACTTCCCCCTTTAATTCGTCGCTCACTTTTACTCATCTTCTACGTCACCCCGTTTTCTATTTTTTTACTTTCACTTGCATACAATTCATTCATATCCTTTACCTTTACATGCAGCCCGCCCTAAATGTCCACACTTATCCAATAACAACTTGCTGCTTACATCCGTTACCGGCACGATTACACAAAAGCCGTTTCGGTTGAGAGGCAAACGGCTGGGATAAACACGTTTTTAATCTCCCAAACAATGAGCATAAAGCACCTCAAAACATCAGTCTGCTGACCCATAGCAACAACGTCCATAACCATAACAACTACATACATATGTACATAAGCAAACATTGCAACAATAATAAATATGTCTGCCCTGCGAACACTTACCGCACCTCTGGGTCATGCGCGCCCTTTTGGACTCTCACCACTATGAAGATTAATATGTATGTATGTATTTCGCTTGTCCACTTGGTGTTTGTGCTTCGGCAGCCGACGGTGGGAGCAGCGGGTCCAGCAACTCTCAAAAATGTGTCGAATGACAGTTGACGTCTCGAAAATGTTAATCCCCTATAATGAATGCCATGCACATTTCAGCTAAGGATCAGCCGAAATACATTTACTCATATCACCTAAGGATGTATGTACATACAACCACCGACAGGCACACACACAAACACCTTAGGTATTTCGCTAGGTAAGCGCATATATATATATATTTTGAAAGTTACATACTTACAGCCGAAAGACAAACTAGAGCAGCAAAAGTACTACCACCTCTGTCGTCTCCACCGCTGCAGCGGTCGTGGTTACTGGCATAGCAAAGCATGTATCCGCACACAAAAAGTTTGCGACTCTTTTAGGCAGCAGGGTATACTACAACTTACTTTGTAATTTTCCTTTTTAACTTATTTTCATTTGCTTGATTTTGTGCTTGTAAAAAAGTATGTTGAAGCAAACTGACAGCTCAGCGTCAACTTGGAGCTACCAAACATAAGAAAACATTGCATTGAATTAGCGGGCAACATTTAAATTGGAGACTTCCTTGGTATGTATATATATATATATATGTACATTAGATATGTTAATCCCGAGATTCCGGTCTTTTTAAGGCTCCAAAAATCCCGGGATTCTTGACAAATAGTCCCGGAATTTTCGGCATTTGTAATTTGCACTGATGACAATAATAGAAACTCCTTTTCTTGACCAGTATTGGCTATATTTCTGTTTTTATTTAATAATTAATATTTTTTTATAAATGTCTAGCTCATTATACATATAACACCGGGCGATCTTAAATTTTAAACACAAATATCAATATATTCGCGAAACCGTGGGCCAAATATAGTAAAATTGCGTTTTTAATTTTTCACTCTGACGTCAGTAATTCAAAAATGATTTAAAAAATTGAGGCAAGTGTGCTTAGAGAAGAAGTATGGGTATCAAATTAAAGAGGAAATGTTGTAAAATTTAAACAGATTAAATTTTTTGGTTCGGAAGGACTGGTAAGTATTAATAATGTCCTTTTAAAGTTGTATCCTTGAAATTTAGCCATATTTGTTTTTGAAAAAATTATATGTTAAGGACTTATATAAACTCGACAACATCCGCGAATTTCATCCTTCTAACTTTATCATGCCAAAAAATTACCTATTCGTCCGTATGAATCCAAAAAATTTGAGTTTATTTAAATTCTAAAGAAATTTCCTCTTGCATTTGGTACATGGTTCTTCTACATTGCATCGAATTTTTTAAAGAATTTTTGGAGTTAATCATATATATGAAATTAGAAGGTCCTTTAAAATAAATCCTGACGTCAGAGATAAAAAAATTAAAAACGCCACTTTAAATAAAGAAGTAGGTTTTAAACTCATTTATTTATTATTTATTTTATGGTAGTCCCGGGATTGTGATAACGACATCCTGAAAATCCCGGGATCGCAAAAAGCTGAAAAAATGAACATCCTAATATACATACATATGTACATATGTAAGTCGCCGTGCTTTTGTTCTTGTGCGTATGCTCTCAACCTACGATGTCGCAGTGCGCATGTCCTATTTTATATACAACAACAAAAATCGTAAAGTGCTCGAAAGAGAAATATTCTCTGCGATTGGAAACAGTGGAACCATGAACAAGGTCGTGGGGATAAAAATTTGTTTAGCAAAGAATAATGGTGGAAATAATAGACGTCTACTAATGACATTTTTTTTTATCCTTAATCAGTCCTCGTTCAAAGCCTTTTAGAATTTGTCACCAATTTTTTAACTTGTAAAATTGTTTATATCAAAGTTATGTAAGCACACATGCAGCTACCTAATAAGAATAGATTTGGGTAGGCGATGAACGCACGTAATTTTTGCCATTCATCAAGTAATTCAGGGACTGCGTATGTACGTCGTATAGCCGAATTAGCATCGATCGCAATAATTCCCGCTATAATCTACAAAACTAGATTTATCAATGCACTCAGCCACCGCGCTGGTATGTAGGCAAGAAATGACCTACATATATATGTATATACAACAGGTCTCCAGTACAGAGGACCGCACTCGGATGCGGTCAAAACAGTCAAAAATACTTTGGTAAGTCCATATATGTGGCCGCTGCGGTGGAATGGTTAGCAGTTTGCGCTGCCATGCCGCAGGTCCTGGTTTCGAGCCCGATTTCCGACCAGCATCAAAAAATAAAATATAAAAAAGCCTTTTTCTAATAGCGGCCGCCCCTCGGCAGCCAATGACAGACCTTCGTTTGTATTTCTGCCATGAAAAACAGTTTTTCGTAAAAATGAAATCACCGTTCGGAGTCGCTGTAAAACTGTAGGCGACATCAAGGCGTATGCCACAAATCGGAGGAAATGCTCGGCCAAATACTAACATGTTGTGAAAGCGTCAATCTATTATTAAAGGCACCCGAGAAAAAAATCAACAACTTCATTTGAAGTATATACATTAGGGTGGTCCAAAAATACAAAGAAAAATTCAATTTTTCAAATTTTCCCGCTTCCACCACCAGAACTGAAGAATATCGAAAATAAAGATTTATTTTGAAATCGGTTAATGTTTATCTAATTAAATTATTCAGTTTTTCAGTTCACCAAAAGAAAGACAGGAAAATTTTAAATTTATTTGAGTTTTTCCAATCGGACAAGTAAGTATATGTTACAGCCCGAATCCGATCTTAGGACAAACTAGTTTTGCCTAACTAACCCTTATCAGTCCAACTCCAGCTACGCAGTTCACAGTATGGTTGCGTCCAACTTGTTTCCGCATCGGATGTAGGTAGAACTAGTTTAGCCTAGGAAAACATATATAACATAACGGTAACATATGTGTATTAGCTATCTCTCCCGACAACTTTAACGGCAAAATAGTCAGATTTCAACGACTGTCTAGACCCTAGAATGATAACACTGATGACCCTCTGAAATCCTATACTTCTTCCTGTTTGTAAAGATGAAGATGATCATGTTCCCCATGCTGGTTCAGGAAATTTTAATCTAACCTACGATGAAGTAGAACTGGAATAACAAAGAGGATATATTTGCTTATAGCATCTTTGCCAAAAAAAAATTTATATGAGTCGATCATTGCCGTTGCTTGGCTTACAATCCTTACCTGGTAAGAATGCATTTAAGCATTTATTTATTCAGTTTCATCAGGGCGTTCTTATTGTTAAGAGTTCTTTCTAAAAGCAAACTTTTGCCTTAAGGACTATTCCACCCCTTAGTTATGTTACTCTCTTAAACAAGAGAAAACTATACAAAGCACATGGCATTCAGTGCGGATGTTAGGCGTCAGCTGCTTGTCATATGCTCGGCCGCGCAAATTCTCTGTGTACAACCATGGCACGCAAAATTCCGAATCAAATACCTCCCTATCGTCGCTGAATGAAAAGAAAACACTCATACCACCGACAACAGCAGCCCCAGCAATGACAACTGGCACACTTACCTACCCAAACAAATGAGCTGACTTGGCTGACAGGCTGGGTGACGGCGCATTGCTTGGTCCACTCTCCTACGTGCCATTATAAATATTTCTCGGTCAGAGAACGGATATACTCGTAGAACCAAATTTAGTGCCGCTCGTCGAATCAGTTTTTTGTAGACATTTTTACGTTACGGACGTGTTGGCGGATGCAAACAAATGCAGAACGGTATTGGCGGTGCGCGACCAAACCTTTTCCGTTTACCTAATTTCTAGTAGCAAAAACAGTTCTTCTTCAATTACTTTCAATTTTACTTGCTTCAAATTAATCGAAATTTAATTATCAAATCCATCTCGTTAACTAATTAATGTGTAATTATGTAAAAGCAATGGAATTGTGCAAAAAAATTAAAAAAAAAAATTAATGTGCGAAATGTGAGTGTTACAATGAATGAAAAAAAACCAAGTACGACAGCGCAAAATTGAAGAGCAGTAAAATCGAAAGCGATAGTACGCCGTGGAAATTGGGACGACGACGAGGACAGTCGTCGGAAGGAAGTTCACATTCTTGCATGTGTACAAAAACCAAAACAGCAATAAGGGTAAAAAAACACACAAAAAATAAAGGAGAAAAAAAAAACAACAAGAAAACCATAGCCTAATTAGTGCATTGGGCGGATACTCGGTGCAGGCAAAAGTCGATGCCACCGCCAACAACAAAATGAAGCTTTAACGAAGTCATTTGGAAAATGCGTCTATGTGCGCGTGTGCGTGTGCGTGTGCGAATAAGTGGCATGAAACCAATGCGTTTGGCAAGTGGGCGCAAATTGCGTGCTATACATATGGGAAATGAAAACAAAAAAATTAAATCGATTTACTTCATGGCAGTAATTTAAAATTTCGTGTTTCAAGTGTTAAGGTGTAACGAAATGGAGGCGATAACAAAATGTTATTTATTTCGACATAACTCGATATTACAAGTGAAAAGCTAAAATTGCATCTTCTTCTAAATGATGTTGAAAAAACCAAGAATAACGTCCAATAAGTTATTTAAAATAAATATTTTTGAAAAACTGATAAACTGGCAAACTAAAAAAAAATGAACAATTATTTTCGAAGAAGACATAATCAGATATGCAATCTTATAGCAAATTATAGCATAATTAGCAAAGATCAAACACAAATATTGGCTGCTGGTCAAACATGCAGCAAGAATGGGGCATTCCCAAAATAGAATCTACGTAGCTATCCCTAGAATTTAGCTAGCAAGCCGCTTCATCATTCTTGCGCACATTCACCAAATTTCCACGATTTCTACACCATGTTTTACCCAATATTTTCCTTCATTTTCAACGTTTTTCCACGTTATCCACCATTTTTCCAACAGTTTTCAACATTTTTCCACATTAATTCTCATAGTCGTGCATGTCTTGCTAGTGCTTGCCTTGCCTGCCACACTAGCCTTGCTTTGAGTACCTGGTAAGACCTCGAAAGCCGTACAATCTCTTCTACCAGTTGAGCCAGGACTGGTAGCCTTTGACTGGGGTACCCCCGCAAACTACCACATAGGAAACTGTGTGAGCTCATGTCTTACACAGGTTCCCATGCGGAGCCTCCCTCTTAGTTCATGCTGACATGGAAGTCCCTAAGGGCCCCCATGTCACCACTTAAGATCAGCCCCCACGGCAAGGAGACCAACATTGGCTGATGAATTTTGAACACTTGAACGAAACCTATTTTTATATCGAGGAAAATGTTCAATAACCTCGACGAAAAAAGTGTCAAAAATCAGCGATAATTCCTAAGCCACTTAAAACTTGTACTTTATTAACTAAAATTCAATAGGCTACAAAACTGCATACCCACTATTTTGGCGAGTGTTTAAAATTTGAAAAATACTTGGGCATTCTGTACGAAGTTTGAAACTTTGATGTGTTTGATTTTAGTTATAGATTAAACTACAGTTTTATAGAAAATTTACGAAAAAGATGTTTCATTGAAAACATTTTGAATGTTGAAAGAAAATTGCCTAGAAGCTTTTCCCTGTGGGTCACTGTACTATTATTTTATTATTATGTATTTAGCATTCACTGTTACCTGATTTATGACTATGTACTCTATAGTGACTTGAGCGGAGTGGATGCCTACTAATACCTGGTAGGCTCGAGTTCTGGTCCGAGCATCATCCATGTACATATATACATTTTTTTTTTCTTATATCGGCCAATTCTGCACAAAAAGTGTTAACCTCAGAATGTATATACGTACATACACTCACCAGAATAAGTTTCCGTACAGTGTTTTTTTTAATACTTGTAATGTTTTTCATAATAAATTTTTTTCGTTAATTTTTTATAGAAATGTTTCTGCATCAAATGGCATATAAATTAATGATTTAAAAAATTTAGGAAAATTCGACAAATTTTTACCAAAATTTTCAACTTTTAAACAACATTTTTTTGAGTATGCAGTTTTTTAGTTCACTCAATTTTGGTGTAATAAAGGACAAGTTTTAAGTGGCTATAAACTATCGTTGATTTTTGAGATATTTTTTTGCTGATGATGTCGCTCATTTTCTCCATATAACGGATGCGTGATAGTTTTTTTTTTTTGTATGGGGAAAAATATCGAAGGGCGTCAGTAAAAAAATTCTCAAAAATAAACGGTAGATTATAGCCACTTAAAACAATTTAAACTGTACTTTATTATACTGAAATTGAGCGAACTACAAAAGTGCAAACTCAAAATTATTAAATTATAAAAAATTTTGTTTAAAAGTTGAAAATTTAGATGAAAATTTATAGAATTTTCCTAAAATTTTGAAAAAACTTTGAATTATTAAGTTATATGCCATTTTATGCAGAATAAACTATATTTCTATTAAAAATTAACGAAAAAAATTTGTTACGAAAAACATTGCAAATATTTAAAAAAAAAAAACACTGTACGGAAATATATTCTGGTGAGTGTATGTATTTTTTTATTTTGTGTCCCCATTCATATTTGAATTCGTTTTTTTTTTTTTGTAAATAACTAGTCGTTGCAATGCTAACACCAAAGCGCAGATTTATGCCAAGCAATAAATGTTTCACATCGAAATTGCCAATAAAACTTATTAAAAATAAATTACAGAAAAAAGTGCTGAATAATATTCAAAAAACAATTTATGTATGTGCATTCGCGCATACGATATTTATGAATTTCGCGTCATATTAAATCCACTAGAATATTTTGGTAAAAATTTACGAAAATATCGACATCGCAGGTGGACTGTCAGCTTTAATTCAAGTGTATTTAGATGTGTTGGCAATGACCAGCACAACGATGTCCATCGCCCTACGCAAACAGAAAATTCATGAGAAAATTGTGGCTACAGCAAGCAAAATTTGTATAAATATTTTTGAGAGCAGTGAACAAAAAATTGGACTATAAATAAAAATATATACATAAATATTATACCTAGTATACCTAGTAGCACAATATATGTACATACGTACATACATACATACGTTTGTATTCAACACGCAAATAGGCGTCTTCTACGCGCAAAATGCGTGTCAGGGTTTTTGGCGGCCCTTAGTTTGCACAAAATAAATCAAATAAATTTGTAGTGTAAAATAAAATTAAAAAGTAAAATATCGCAATTACATACAAATCACACAAAAAACACAGTAGCCAAAGTGAAAATACATAAATAAAATAGAATGAGCAAAAATAAAATATAAAATAAACTGTAAAACTGGGCATAAAAACCGTCGCGATTGATATCCTTAGAGAGATAGAGAGAGCATATTTTTTATGGCACATTTTAGAGGACTTAAAGCGCTTTTATGCTAATATTTTTATTGCACAGCGCCGACAGGCAGACGTGAATGGCTTGATTCTTGATAAGTAATCAGGCTGAGGACGAGGGCGATGGCAATGGTTGTGGTGGGTGACTGAGAGAATGTTGCTGTGTAGGTGGAGAGTACAACAGCTCGCCAGTATATTAAAGGGTAAATCAAGTATTTCCTCACCCGCCTACTATACAAAAATATTCGTTTGTGTGAATGTGTTTTTTTTTATGGCTATGTTATGATTTCTACCGGTTTGTTTAAGGGTTACCATGACGGCCCTCATGCGACACAAGTGCTATTACAAATGCATGCCACAACATAGCAACGAACACTGGCTGCTTGCTACAAAAACGCGTCACAAACAGCTACACAACCACCTTTGGCCATCTCAAGCAGTTCTACGTTGCCCTTGTCGCGCCACAAACATACACTCGGGTGACTCGCATGCGACATTTAACGGCTATTTTGTTCGATGCACCACACCCACTCCATGAATGTCTGGTTAAAATAACCTCGATCTCATCTTCTTGTAGCCCCAATCGAACGTTATTACTCTGGGCTGTGTATACATATGTATGTATGTATATGGGTTGTCTGTGCTCTTTTAGTCTGTGACTAACTCATTCAATGCCATCATGCTCTTTGATATGTATGTATGAACGTTAAAGTGCCAAGTCGACCGTCACGAATTCGTCAAAGTAAATTGTAAACTTCCGATAATTTTACTGCAAAATATTCTGATCCCATCACATCCATAAGTACTTTTATACATATTGATGTATTTATGTATGTGCTCACAATGGCACGTTGTCACGTTATTTCCCTGCATAAAACGTTGGACCATGTGGCCCAATTTGGACATACTGAAGTATTTACAAAATGATCCTCTGTAATACAGTAGCGGACCAACTCGTGTAATCACTACATGATATTGATTAGGCCGTGTTGCCAAGAGGTAGGTACTGTATGAAGTAATCCCTTGGAGTAGTTTTGTTCTACTCTGATGTAATGCAGCGCTGGAGTATATGGCCCTACTCTAGGACGTCTTAATATTAATTGCACCACTCTTTTATATACATTTCGATTAATTTTGGAGTACTCCTTGCCCCTTGGGAAGTAGTCCTTACATGCGTGCTTGGAGTAGTTAGTCGCGATCTTTGCAGGATTGCTTTTTTTTTAATGTACGTATGGGGCTTTCATTGCCGTGATTCCCCGTTGGTTCTCGTCAAATATTCGTATTTCAACCCAAATATTAAACCTGGTTTTTAAACAGAACACGATTTGGGGGGGTGAAATAACACAAACGGCAATAACGCAAAATTTGCTTTATTTCACTTTTAAATGGGAAATAATACCAAAATCTGAGTTTTGCTTTATTTCCAACAAAGGTTGGAAATAAAACAAATTTTGCCTTATTTCCCATTGCTTATTTATACTATTTGTAAAAAAAAAAACACAGTTTACTGACAGAAGCAAAAAGAACTTTGTTTATTCCAAAAATACAGTTAAACCAAGGCACATTGCACAGGTAATATCAGTATAGCAGCTGATTTGATTTATTTCAAATTATTTGTTCTCGAAAATGTCAAATATTTAACATTTCTTCTCAAAAAAATTCTAAATTGTTAAAATCTATTTGCATGTGAAACATTTTCCATACAAAACCAGCGATTAAATAGCAGCTTTTGGAAAGCTCGACCAACTCAACTCAACTGTACAACCGCTGATTACTGGACCTGGCACAGGATGGTGGATCAATGCTTCGA